GCTCCGCGACCCGAAAGGAGAAGCGGCGATGGAAGATGAAGATGAAGGTTAAAGAAATGAAACTGTCGTAATGGCTGACGAGTTCAACTTATGCAATAAACATATATGTATTCTTTAATCAAAGGCAGGGTTACTACTAACGCAGAACAATGAGCCGCAAGACATGCTCTTACACTGACCAGAAAAAAAAACACGGGGCATAACTCCTGATAACTGGAACGCCTGCTGCTTGACTTATAAAATGGATATAGAATGAAGAAATAGCACTACAGACTCAATATAGTTATAATCTTATTGGTCATGTCTTAGGCCGTGAAAATGGGTCTTTCCTGGTTTGTAGCTGATACAATTATGTCGAGAAAAACAGTAGTAAGCTTTGGACTGATTGATTATCATCTTGACTGTCATTTCCTAGGGAAAGAGCAGCAATGCTGAAACTTAGATTGTGAAGGCAGACGATTGCTCTAGTGCAGAGATGTCAAATCAGTCAAAAGTCAGACAACAGATCAGTTGAAGGTAGTAGACACAGGTTCACGACAAGCTGAGACGTTTTCAATCTTTTGAAAACGAAGAATTTAAGAATAAGAGAATAACTGGATGGGTAGCACTTTCGTCAGATTACCGAGCGGAGAAGACGCGAAGCCGCTGGATGGGTTGGCATAATCTTCAACAAGGAACGATCTTCTAGAGTTGACTCCTACGAGTTTAGATCATTATCGACTGCTCCATGTAGTTCTTACCAAAAGTCGCACTTTTAGGATCATTCAGATATAAACTCCGACAAGCACAAAGGAAGATGTAAAAATTATGCCAAAACCATGAAAAAATAATGAGTCAGCTTGGTCAAATCGGTTTTCTGAGTGCACACTAACATTTTGGACTTGTTCAACATGAAGAAGAACGAAGCAAAGAAAGCGAAAAGTTCATTATTGCATACGGCACTGGAAGATGAAATCTACGAGGAAAAAGACTGACATCCCTGGCGGAGACAAGAAAATTGTTCGCTTGTAACACCTGGTTCAATAAGAAAATCTGTAAAAGATATGCGTGGAACGCAATAAATGCAAAAATTTGCCTGCTCAACAGATTTTTAATTGGAATTCTTAGGAAACTTCCTACTCCCATCAGCAAGACACATTCTCAACTTTAACTAGTTTAAAATACTACAGGAATTCGAGTTCAACAGGGAACCGCAGTGGACCGTCGTTAGCTTCGAAACTGCATCGTTAAACGTTGATTTTATGTCCCAATATTGTGTCAAAAAAGTTAGCAAATCCATAAACAAGCTATGCAATCGCCAGTACAAGAATGATCTCGCAGCAAATACGATTATGTAGGGTTCACGAAAATG